CTCTCTCTCTCTCTCTCTTGTATGCCAGGTACTAACCTGTGAAGATGGCGCTGTGCTGCAGGTACCTCGAAGACGAAGCTGGAGCAACGGCGCTGCAGGTTAGTATCCCTGGCCTCCGCCCAATCTCTCTCTGTCTAGTGCTACTCTAGCTATGGCACCCAGCGCTGAAGACTAAGGCTAACAACGCTACTACTACCACTGCAGCGCTCCTCCAGAGTGCTGCTGCCGAATCCTGAAGACTACTGACTGCCTCCTGCCTTGCACGTGAAGTGCCTGGGAAGTACCTAGGAGTTACCTCCCAACTGTCTGCAGCCTGCAGGGTGGGCCAGTCTTATATAGTGCTGGCCTGTCCAGGAGACTGCTCTTCCCAATGCCAAAACGTGCCAGACCCTGGGGTTGAAGCTCAAACGAAGGTCGTCTTGAAAATAGGCCAAAAATGGCCTGAACTAAAACCCTGGTCTGGTGCCTGAGTTTCAGGGCAGGTCGACCTGATGAGGGCCTGAAAATGGCCCTCAGTTTCAGGCTGAAAATACTCTGGGCCAGAGCCCTGATTTAGCCTGAAACGACACAGGGCCTGTAGGCCCTCATTTTCAGGCTTTCAGGCTGAAACGACAGGGGGCCTGTAGGCCCTTGTTTTCAGGCTTTTGGCCTGAAAACAACACGGGGTCTGTAGGCCCTCGTTTTCAGGCTTTCAGACTGAAAACGACACGGGCCTGAAAATGGCCTCTGTAGCCTGTTGCAGGTGCAGCATGTAACAGTGCCTCTCCTCGGGTCTGTCGCCATTAGACACATCCCGGCAAATATCACACATGAGAGGAAGTTAAGATGAATTGGTGTTTCAACTTTAAAGTCCTGAATAAACAAACACTCACCAAATTGCTGTTTGACTTCATTACTGCTCAAATTAAAGTTCTTCATCATGTCTGCCATCCTACCGTCCCAAGCTGCGTCACCGCCCATGTTGCCTCTGCAGACATTCAACATCACACCAAGACCACGTTTCCCCCCAACATGTGCCCGATCCCCAACCCACCCTCTCACACACACACACACACACACACACACACACACACACACACACACAAATCAAACACACATTTCTCGATATTGGCCTGGATTTCTAGACCATTCAAGCTCAGTTCAATTTCACAGAATTCAGTATGACAAGAAGGACCGGTGCAGCTCTGCCTGGGTAAGAAAACGGTTTGTGCCCTTTCCTTCTTTTTCTTTTCTTTTTAAGCAGTTCGCATCGTTATGTCCGGAGTAAAAAAGTCTTGTGATGTCATGCCTCCATGAAACTACAAGCGGATTGGGAAAAAATAAAAAATAAAAACAATTATGAGCAAACCATGCAGACTAAAGAAAGTACTGCCAACATAACAATCTAACAAAAACAGATTCTCAGGGAAGAAAAAAAAACGGCTCACAGAAAAATTACATCAGAACGGACTTAAGAAGGAAGAAGAAGAGGAGGAAAGAAACCATGGTCGCACCCAGACCCAGACACAGTGGGACGTCCGGAACAATTCGAAAAAAAAAATGAAGTTTAATAAACAGGTTAGACGGGGTGAAGTAGGCCATACCTACATCAAGGCAGTATCCAGCCTCTGCACCTCTCTCTCTCTCTCTCTCTCTCTCTCTCTCTCTCTCTCTCTCTCTCTCTCTCTCTCTCTCTCTCTCTCTCTCTCTCTCTCTCTCTC